CATGCGACTGCATCTGGAGATGCTGCCTTTGAAGAGGTCATGACATGAAGATGAGGTCCCGCTGGAGTAGGGTGGCCCTGACCCAACATGAGGGTGTCCTTCTAAGCAGAGATTAGGACACAGACGGGACAGCCACTGGAGGATGTAGAGAGGGAATGCCGCCTACAAGCCAAGGAGAGGCCGCTGAGAGAACCAGCCCTTGGCATCTTGATGTGGGATTTCCAGTCTTCAGGACTCTGGCAGAAAACACATCTGTGGCTGAAGCCACCCAGTCTGTGCTATTTGTTGTGGAAGCCCCAAGAACTGATGCAACACACAACGCAGACAACGTCTGCAAAGTCCCTGGCTCACAGGGGCACCCACACAGCGTTAGTGCTGGCCCTGATAGATGTGGTGTGCGTGTGCGTGTGCGTGTGTGTGTGTTGTTTTTGTTTTTTTGAGACAGGGTTTCACTTTGTTGCCCAAGTTGGAGTGCGGTGGTGTGATCATGACTCACGGCAGCCTTGACTTCTCCAGGCTCAGGCGATCCTCCCACCTCAGCCTCCTGAGTAGCTGAGACTGTAGGCACACACCACCATGCCTGGCTAATTTTTTGATTTTTTTGTGGAGACAGGGTCTCACTTTTTTGTCTAGGCTGCTCTCGAGCTCCTGGGCTTAAGCGATCCACCTGCTTCAGCCTCCCACAGTGTTGAGATTCCAGGCATGGGCCACTGCACCCAGCCTTGTTTGGTGTTTTTAACACGTAGTCAATCATCCCCAGGAAGCTTAGCTATCACCAGAGAACCCCAAAGAGCAAGCCCACAGGTCATCAGATCCACAGCATTCAGAGAAAGCCGAGGGGGAAAAGCCACAAGCAGCCTGGCTAAGGACACAGGCAGTGTTCTGAGCACTTGTTGATCCTCCAAAGGCAATCACCCAACCTCCTTGATTCACACTGCCAAAAGGTAATGAGTTCCTCCAGTGGCCAGTGAAGCCAAACGTCTTCTGTCCTAAGGACCAAGGACTGCCAGGCAGGCAAAGACTGCCCAAGACAGGGTGTCCCTCTGTGGGTGGGTCTTGCCCCTGTCCCCCTCCTGGTGCCGAGGCACGTTCCTGGGTTCTCCAAGGCAGCTGTCACCCTTTCCTTCTGGCACCCTTTCCTTCTTGGGTTCTGCCAAGCTCTGTTGCAAGACAGAGAACCAAATACAAAATGGGCAGATTGATAAAAAGCTAGTAAAATAGTGAGGCAGGGCCATTTGGAAACCAAATTTCCCTGCCACTTAAAAAGACATAGGGAGTGAAAGGCAGAACAGGGGTTTCTTCACTTCTGAGAAGGAGAGCCCTGCGCAGAACCTGTGCCCGCCTGGAGGAAGTCATGCTCCATCCACACTGAGTCAGCGTCAGGAGTGCAGCCTCCTCGATCCTCTGAGGCGTGCTTCTCCCCGTTCTGACCGTTCTGACCCCCAACTGGCCCGGGAAGGTGCCTCAACCACTGGTCACCTGGGAACTGCGCACCACATGACTGGACTAACACTGCGACTCAGAGAAATTCCACAGTTAACCCTTTAGTTAGTCCCCCTTCCTCTTAGATCCTGATGTGGCTTATTCAGGATGAGAGAGCAGCAGATTTCAAGGCCCTGAGTCACTGAGGGCAAAACTCGCAAAGGAGATTGGAAGCTCCTGCAGGCAATGACCAGGCCTCGCCACCACCTCCCCAGCAGCCAGCGGTCCCCAGAGCCTGCTCAGGAAACAGCTTTTATGTGAAAAAGAAGTTAGGAAATAGGTATGATTCATTTACTCTTTGAAACATCTGTGAGCCAGTTACGTGCTGGGGCTGCTCCAGGCTGAGATGGAGGCAAGAGAGGAAAGTTCCCTCCTGGATGTTGGAGGGGAATTAGCCGGATGATAAGCAAATCACTACCATCTGTATCAGACACTCGGCCGCGGGCTCTATGACGGCGGAGGAAAGAGGCGTTGAGTGTGGGTGGGGACGGGTGGAGAAGATGGCAGCAGGGCGGGAGGGAGGGGCCCCGAGCAGCCTGGGTCGGGAACTGGGGCGTCTCCGCAGAGGCCGTGTGCAGGGTGGACGGGGCGGCCCCGCAGAGGCCGTGTGCAGGGTGGACGGGGCGGCCCCCACTGCTGCCTTCCCTGCTGCAGATCAGTCTCCAGCCCCTGAAACTGACAGAAGCTTCCCTTGATTTTCTCCTAAGGGGAAAAATAAATGCCTCCCAGAGTCACACACAGAAATGTACAGAGCGGTAGGTGGCACTTTTCTTTTGTGGTTCAAATTTAAACACTCCACTAAGTCATGCAGCATCGCAGAGCACGTACTTGGAAAGGCACAAAAATGTTTCCCATCAGGTTTAAAGAAAAGAAAAGCTCTTCTTAAACTACCTACAGAAACCATTGTTTTAAAATTTCCCATTTTTGAGGTTTTTAAATGATTAGAACTTTAAACGTGAGATTTCAGAAAACAAAATCCTAAGTGTGGGCTTTGCTAGGGCTCAAGAATCTGACTCTGACAACATTAAACGAATCGAAAATACATGTGGGTGTTTTACAGTATCAAACAACAGGAAAGAAACTGAAAGCCACACCGAGTTTTGTAGAAACTGGAGCTGCAAATCAGTTATTCTAAGACTTAAAATACCATCAGTGTTAGCAGCGTGGGGACCTCTGAGCAGAGCTGTTTTTTCCACTTTCATTTTTAGCTGAAACAGTCCTCCTGGTGTGGATATTGTATCCAAGCCATGTTCTTAATAAATTAGTAACTTGATACATTTATGGTTAAATGATATTGTTAATTATAAAATGACATTACCAGGAATGCAGTTTAAGTATGGGCTGAATAAAATGAGCGACCCCCCATTCAACATTGACTAGAACTATTCACATATTTATATAATTGGTCTTTCTAAATCATTAGGTAAGAAACGACTGCTCATCACTTTGAGATAAAATGTAAACAGGAACAGTATGCAGTCACCTATTCGCTTTCCACAGATGATCTGAAAGCAAATCGTGGAGAATTACCTGTGTGGCTGATACAGAGGCTGAGTCCAAGTCCAAATCAGAGAATGTCCCATTTCTTCCAAGTTTATTATTAAATAAAAACGCACTACGGACCACGGTAAAGAGGTCTGAAGACTGACATTGAATTCAGTTCAGTTCCGTGGACCTTTCTAAAGCATGCTGGGTGTAAGCCGGGGGTGACCCCGACCCTAACGCTAGCCCATCTTCAGCAGCCAGACATTCTAGTGCACCACCATCTCCCTTGAGTTGGAGCATGCATAATTTTATGTTGGATTAAAGTACTAAGGAAATGGAATAACTTCCCTCAAGGGAAAAAATATACATGTTTAAAACATAAAAAATGTTGAAAAATGAAAAGTATTTTTCATCAGAGCAAAGGAATTTTATCATCTCTTTCCTCTCCGAGAACCTCCTGATACCTTTAGGACCAATCACACAGCATGGACCAAAAGCGAGGGCCCCCCATACAAATTAGGGTGGGTTTACAGTTTTGTGCACAATGGCAGGCTTATTCCTCATAATCAGAAACGATTCTCTGGTCTAGAGAGAAGGGTGGGCAGAAAGACAGATGGCGAGGACCCCTGGGCATCTGTGGTCCTTGTCAACATCTTTGCATCATCTGTCCTGAGCATCTCAGTGGGAAAAGGGTCCAGAGCCCTGACTCAGGACACTACAGGGGAATCAATGGCAATGCAGAGAATCCAAATCGGACAAAAGAAGCCAGTGCCTTCAAATAAGGCAGACAATGGTGAATGCCATGCTAGAAATACAAAGCAGATGAATTCTTAGTAGCGGGAAGGATTTGAATGATTTTTAATTTGCAGTTTCCTGTTTGATTAACTGTATTTTCCAAATGTTTTGTGGTAAGGGTTAGGAATGGGCTGTGCAGGAGCCGCCACTGGAAGGGCCAGTCACAGTGAGGGTGAAGAAGGGCTGGAGCCAGAGGCCGAGAACCTTGGACTGTAGTCTGAGCTAAGGACTTCCTGGAAGTTCTGGGGACAGGGGGGGTGACAACCCAACTGATAGAGGGAAATCCTGGCAGCCAAAATACAAGACACATGGGAGCGGGAGGAGCCTGGAGCCTTGGCTCTCGAGCCTGGAGAGCTTTGAAAAATGCCCACGTCTGCATCGGGATCTAAGGTGGGCAAAGACCCTGGCAGATCTGAAAACTCTCTGGAAGATTCCAATGTGCAGTCAGGCCAGAGCAGGACCCCAGAGAAGGACTGCTGGTGAGGACCCAAGCAGCTGCACACAGGAGAAAGCAGGTTATGGATTTAGGAGAGGTCCAGGGGAACAGCCTGAGCATTTCCCATCCTTTCTCCAGACCTCCGGGATTCAGAGTGAGTTCTTCCAGAGCCAGACTAGAGGGAAAAGTCAGAGGCACACTCCATGGTGGGTGAGAAGAAAGGAGTGGGACTTTAGTAGATGGAATTAGGTTTTTGAGCAAAAAGAAAATCTGATGTGTTTCACCATTCGTGAACTGGTATAAATGTTTATGCTCTTTCAAACCAGCAGCTAATTAGATAGAATGCAGTTTGGAAATATCTTTATCTAAAAAATAAAAATGTTAAAAAATCGAAGGTATTTTTGCATGAGAACAAAGGGATTTTCACAATCTCTTTCCTCTCCGAGAACCTCCTGAGCCTTCTAGGACCAATCACACAGCAAAACGTGCTTCGTCTGCCTTTCCTCGTTTCCCTCTCTCTTCTTCTCTGTGTCTCTTTTTCCTCCCTTTCTTTCTCCTTCCTAACTCCTTCCCTTTCTTCATTCCTCTATTTCTTTGCAAGGTCAGGACCTACCTATTGCCATGCAATCCTCCTTAATAAATGAGTAACAATGAATCCTATCAACAAGGACCAGGCTTCCACCCAGCTGTCAGGGAAGACTGTAGCAGCAAGAGCCCATGCCCTCAGCCTCCGACTCACCAAGGGGATTTGTGTTTAATAACAAAACGACACGCGCATTTTTAGGATCAGCTCATGTCTTACCGTGTTGGTCTTCTCGGTGTTTAATTCTCGTTTGCCTGCGTGGTTTCCCATCCTGAATAGATCAGCTCTTCAGAGGCTAAAAGAGAAAGAGAAAGGGTTAGCCTTAAGTCTAGTATTCTTAGTGTTCTATGTTGTTTTTCAATTAGAAAGACAATCCTGTGAGATATATGATGCCCACTTTTGAGAAGAGGACACCAAAGCTCTGAGAACTGAGAAACACGCCCAGGTCATCTTATTAACAAATTCTATCTTTTGAACCCATGCCAAGAGCTCGAAAACAGAACCGCACCACCTTCCAGATCCTGTTCAGTAACACACTTCAACCTGTCTCAAGAAATCTTGCAGATTTGTGTATATGTACAGAAATAATCTATCTATCCACACATGCATATGTACACAGAGAATTACATCCCACACTTGGGTGTACTGTAATGAGCTGAGATGTCAGAAAAGTGCTGACACTCTTCTACAACTAAAAGGTAGTAAGAAGATATTCATGCTCGTTGCTTTAAAAAAAAAACCATGTGAGCACAGAAAGAGCCAACATCAGATCAAGGATTGCTTAACAGACAAGTGTCCAAAGAATCTGCAGAATTTGTAGGGAACGTTAGATGGAAAAAGCATGCCACTCCTCATTTTTAGTTTCTAACCCCAACCTTAGCAGCACATTTATGATTTTTCCCCAAGACATGCAAAGAAGGGAAGCACTGAGCCATACTCATTCCAAGCAAACTGCTCCTCCCAGCCTGCCTGCGGGACCTGCCCTGGCCTTGGGGCTGATCAGCTGAGGGCCACTGGAACCATCAGCCCCAGCCTGGGTGCAGGTGCTCAGAGTGTTTAAGGACAATGACATGTTTTCCTTGATGGATGTAAAAAAGTTCTCATCCTTGATGGATGAGAACCCAGGAAGAGCTTTCCTTGTGAGGGAACCAGATGAACCATCTCCTGAACATGGGGAGGGGGGACTCCCCAAAATACTAGAGACGCCCAAACACAAGGCGAATTGTGTTCCTCAAAAGTCACTCTTTAGAAAAGAGAATTGCCTGACAGCCAAGCTTTTCCGTCTCCCACATTCCCGGGTCCCTTTTTGGTGGCTCAGGAAGGACTAGCTGAGGACACTTTTCCGCAGGCAGGCACCCCCATCACCGCACAGCTGCTGGAAGGGCTGCTGAGAAGAGAAGCCAACGACAGCACAGCAGCCACTCCCAGGCCCCACCCCGTTCACGGGCGTCGGGGTGACTCACAGCTGGCCACCGCAGGGTGAAGACCCACCCACCTTCATCACGTGTGAATGCAAACGGGGGCCTGCCCTAAGACTTCCCGTGAGGGCCTCATGCAGGGAGGTTGAAAACAGGCTGGACTTCAAGCAACTCAGGTCAAAGTGCCCATGGATGATGCTCTGGTAAGTCACAGATGCGGTTCTAATGATGATATGAACACAACTGGCTGCATGAACCCCGTGCTTCGTGGCATGAGAGTGAAAAAAGCCATCAGAGTTTGATACGTCTGATTTGAAAACCGCAAGGCTACCTTCGCGGATGATGTCAGCATCCAGTGCAAGTCTATCTTCTCAATTTATTTAAGTTGGACAACCAAAAAAGCCTCGCAGAGGCAAACTTCTCATTGGGAAATGAAGGCCTGGTGCATGAGTGGGGCCTTCCTGGGTAAGAATGGGTTAACAAAGGGAAAGACCAAATTCACTGTGCCCTTCTGGGGTCTAAGCATGAATGAGTGTGTCCCTTGTGAGGTGCTGCTCTGAACCCTGGGTACACGGGGGCTGTCATTCTCAAGTCTGACGGCTCTCTAATTCCACATGCTGTTGTTGGAATTAAATATTAAGAGCTTGCAGGATAGGCATATTTTATAGAATAAAGCATGTCAAATATCTGTCAACCCATTTTTCTGTTTAAGAAATGAGAAGTGGTTTATTCAAAGCTAAACACAGGTAAAAACAGGTAACCTCCTTCAGTGAAGGTGGACAACTTGGACCTTCTCAGGCATTTTGTCCGTCCAGACACAAGGAACCTCCTCTCACAAGCTGTGTTCTCCAAGAGCCTATTCCTGGCCCAGGCATCACCTCACCTCTGCCTCCTGGGAGCCCTCCCCACCCAGGCCCCTTCCTGTTCCCCGGCCCCATCCATTTTCACCTTCCTCCTCCTTCCTCCTCATGCTGGGACTAGGCAAACCCAAATGCAATACTCACTCCTTCCAGAAAACAAAGCTCCAAGGATTTGTAGCAAATCAGAATAGTGTGGGACATGTAAATATTTGGGGACATGCTGATAGACACAGAGAGCTATTTTTGGACAAAGGGCTCTTGAACGCAGCTGAAATCTACCCACAAGGTGCTGAACTGCTGCCTGGAGAGGGCTGTGTTTCTGCCACGTCAGTCTGCTGTGATGAAACTTTATCATACTTCATAGCACACTTCTAGGTTACGCTTGGGATGACTGATCTTAATCACGATTTGGAAAATGCAAGAATACTGGACACAGAATTGGTGAAAATAACTCAAGTCCAGCCTTTTGAATACATCTAGTTGGATTTGACTAGCTAGTTAGACAAGCCTACTTACTTGCCTTTGACTGATCTCTAGGACTAATATAAAGAAAATGTATTTATATGCATCGAGGATTGGTTAATTCTAGCCTTAAATGCAAAATTCATATACTAGCAGGAAAAGAAAGACAAGAGGAACAACACCAGAACTTGATGTGTGGGAGCCTCCATCAGAACCCTCGGTGTAAACGGCTTCTGAGCATTGGTAAGCGAGACGTGTCTCAGTGCACTATGGAGAGAACCACAGAGCTTGTGGCTGATAATCATGAGTGACTGGCAGTCTGCCTTATGAGCTTCTGGCGCTCTGTCCCAGTCTGCCTTTTAGAGAAGAGCTAGAGAAGAATGAAGACCTCACTACCACAGAGCCAAGAGCTCAGCCCGGCAGCTGGTTTCTGTAATGTGCTGAAAAGATCCATCTGCACACAAAAGCAGCTGCATGCTTGGAGGAAATCTTTTTTACTTCATTTTTGCAATTGATCAAAATTGAGAGAGCCAGAGAAAAATTGGGTAAACATGTGAAATGCTGCAAGGAAAACCAGCTGACTCTGAAGCATCTCTTGGGTAATTAATGAAGCCTTCTGTAAAATAATAGAAAAGGACGAGAGGGAGGAAGAACTGAGCAAGAGCTATATGGCAGGGACAGAACTTCAGATTCCATCGTGGCCGCCGAGATTTCTAGACTGGACTTCACTTCTAGATCTGATTCCAGCCACTGGGATTACTGGACATTTTGATAATGTTTCTGTGATTATCAACACTTACTATTACCTCAAGGGCTAACATTGGGGATATGCACAGTCAGTCATCCAGATTTACTAGGAAGCAGTCCACTGTTGTTTACTGTTAGCAACAATTTTTTTTAATAAAATGCACCTAAAGCAGCTTAAGACTACATGTCACCTTGATGGCGCCATAGGAGAACTCAGCATAGATAAAGCTAGCTAGCCTATCAGTGCAGGGAAATAGCTCCCAGCCAAAATGCTGGGGATCAAATGACTTGCTCCTGGGTATTTTGCTGATTTCATTCACCAGGGAGTTCTGACTTTTTACAGTGCAAGTCACGCAGGTAAGACCTGTGTCTCAATACAGTTTCCGTCTGGGTGACTGAACAAGACTCCGCTTTTCTGAGCCTCAGTTTCCCATAAAGTGGAGGTAATAAAACCTGCCTTTCTGCGCTGGTGTGTGAATGAAGCCCACATGAGCTGCAGGGCTGGGCAGGGCTGAGGTGAGGATTGGGGTGTGCTGAAGCGTTGCTTGCTTTCTGCCTTCCTCGTCCCTCCACCAGGTCCTGGGTTCCCTGGGTGAGTGGCGAGCAGCTGCAGAAACATCACTGCCTATTTACTATCACACATGGTCAGAGACCTCTGTATGACTTCCCACATCTAGATGCATCCACTCCTAAACTGACATGGTCAAAGGGAGAAAAAGGGCTAAAAACACCAGGTGCCTTTAGAAGCCTGGGAGTTCCATCCTGTAACGGCTGTCAACAAAGCTCTTGATCCGACACACACACTAAAGCCGGGGAAAGGCAGCGGCTGCTGCTTTAAGACTCCACAAAGCGCCCTGGGGTGCAGGAGGTAAGGAAAGAGGGAAAAGACTGAAGAGGACATCCAAGAGACAGCCATTCCCCAGACGTCAGAGAAGCATTCAAATATTAAGATGAGAAATTGGTGATTTTTGAAATAATTTCGAGTGCGATTTTACAAGCAATGAGATTACTGTGAAATCCCTTGTTTAAATAAATGAACCGTGAGACAGGCAAGACCTCAACGCAAGTCTCCTAGAGAGCAGGCGCCTGGTTACCCAGATCATCTCACTCCCACTCCCAAAGCTGCGAAAATACAAGGAGCAAACACCGTCACTGCTGGGGGTTTAGCTGACAAGCATGCAAGGTCAAATTCATGATGGTGTGGGATGCGTAACATGTTCTTTGCACATCATTGCGTGTTTAGGCTTATTAGCAAAATATTTGTATAGTACAGAGCTACAGGGAACACCCATATTGTAGGACACAGATCACACGTGTGTTGCTTTTAGACTTGGGATTCTGTTGGCGTTGTTTTCATAACATGCTTTTGATTGCACTTTTTTTTTTTTTGAGTCCACGTTCAAGAAATGAATCCTAAAGTAAATGTTTCTATGGAGATAACGGGATTTATTTTACAACGATTTGCTTTATCCCTCACGTTTCTATCAAGCTAAGTTAGATAATTATAGGAATAACCCTGTAAGCTTCATTCCCATGTTACATTTGCGAAAGTTGAGAAGACTGAATCTAGCTATGAGAATGCCTCTAGGAATGTATTTTAGTTATGAACAGAGTTAGCTGGATGTTGTTTACATTCTGAATATCCCATGTGGAAAGTATCAGAGTAGGCTGAAGACATTCTACGTTCCTCAATTATTAATCAATACAATAAGAGAAGCATGCAGTGGTGAAGGTCTCAGAAGCGGACATGAGGCAGCGTGACGTGGTGTGGGGACCGGCCAGCAGCACCGGAGAGCTTTTTAGAAACA